TAGGGTTTAGGGTTTAGGGTTTAGGGTAGGGTTACACTGGGCATCCTGTTTTTTCAGTTGCCTGGGTTGCGCAGGCCTTCGTTTTGGGAAGTCAGGATGGAAAGGAGTGAGTTGGTTAGGGGTTTAGGGTTTAGGTTTAGGGTTTAGGGTTCCCAGGCTTGTGTATGTAGCTGCAAATTGAAGGACAGAATGCCAAATCGTGAATGCATACAGCGCAGTGTGCAACGTAGCGCCTGCACGCTGGACAGTAGAGCCTTCGAACTCCTATTTCTATGAACACGGAACAGCATCGGCCGGAGACACGCTAGGTGAGAACAAAACACAAGGCAAGAACTAGTGTTTTCGTTCGCTGGTACAAGTCGCCTGGGGCTTGTGAGGCACGCGAACAGAGCCTGTTGCTTCCGGCTTCCGCTACCAGCTGCTATTTTGTGGCTTGGGTTGTTCGCGAGAATGTTAGATTGGGGTACCCAGAGAGCCCAATACCCCTTAATTAAGGAACATACCTTAAATCATAATATGAAGGCCCCTATAGTTTAAGGTATATTCCTTATTTAAGGGGTTTTGGGCTCTCTGGGTATGAATGGTTGGTATCAACAGCCACTTACGTTCTCGTTTACAAATGTTATCCTATCGAGTATAGCTCAGAACATTATTCTGATTGTTAAGGCCTTTCCTACTCAAACTCGAGTGCTCCGCAAGGCGACGAGAGCTCGATCCAAAGCCCAGCGAGTGGAAGAAAGGAGCGTGTGGATTAAGGCGCCGGGTTTAGTGTTTGTTTGGGCTTGAGGGTTTGAGGGTTTAGGGCTTTTGGGGTTTTTAGGGAGTGGGGTTCAGGGCTGTTGGGGTAAATTTAGTGTTTACGGGCTGGTGAGAATTGTCAGGGTGTCGCAGTTTTCGGTTCCTAAGGTATTTGCGGGTTGCTGTCTACAAGACTCAAGGAATTCAAGGAACTAAGCCCTAAACCCTAAACTTCTAAACCCTAAGGAAGGAGTTTAAGCCCCGTTTGGAGTAGAACGGGTCGAGTTGGATTCAGGGTGCAGGGCGGGTGTCAAGGTTCTGCCAGGAACCCAGAGAGCCCAATCCCCCTTAAATAAGGAATATACCTTAAATCATAATATTAAGACCCCTATAATTTAAGGCATATACCTTAAATCATAATATTAAGGCCCCTATAGTTTAAGGGCTCTTCCTTATTTAAGGGGTATTGAGCTCTCCGGGAATGGCTCTGGGTTTCTGACGCGTTGGGACTTGGAGCTGGATGAGTTCAAGCGTTACCCATAGGCCCCTAAGTAGCTCCTTTTTGTGGTTTTTTAATTTAGAATCCTACAAGGTAATCCTACTTAGGGGCGTATGGGTAGGGCTTTGGGGCCCAAAGAGACCGAATCCTCCCCGTAAGTGGCAAAAAGCCCAGAGAGCCCAATACCCCTTAACTAAGGAATATACCTTAAATCATAGTATTAAGGCCCCTCTAGTTTAAGGTCTATTCCTTAATTTAAGGGGTATTGGGCTCTCTGGGGAGAGATGTTCACGAACCTAGGAGCCTGGAGCTTCCCCAACTTCTGAACGCGTTGGTGTTTGGGGTTTAGGGGTCTATAGGGGTTGAGGGTTTGGGGTGTTTTAGGGGGTTTGGGGGTTTAGGGGTTTAAGGGCTTAGGGGCTTAGGGGCTTTGGGTTTAGGGGTTTAGGGCTGAGCAATGGTGAAAGGTGGTGAAAGCCGATGGGTTGCTAAGTCCAGCTCAGCCCTGGCCCGTGGCGAGACCTCGACGAGGAAGCGTTCCTTGAGTCGGAGGGCACCCAGAGAGCCCAATACCCCTGAAATAAGGAATAGACCTTAAACTATAGGGGCCTTAATATTGTGATTTAAGGTATGTTCCTGAATTAAGGGGTATTGGGCTCTCTGGGCAACAACTCCGACCAGGTTCAGTGGTTGCATCGGATGCTCCGAACATATGCGCCGAAGGCCTTGAGGCAACTAGGGTTCAGGGTTTAGGGTTTAGGGCTTAGGTACGCTAGACTCTGAGTGGGTGTGCCGGTCAGAGGATGCCGATGCAGCCCTGCGTGAGCGACTGTGGCTGTGGCAGCTCTGGAGGATGTGTTTTCCTCGCACCGGCTGTTCGTGCAGCAACGCTTCAAACGAGTGAGACCGAAGAACACCCGAACCCCTAAACCCTAAATCTTAAACCCTAAACCCTAAACCCCAAACCCTTGCCAGCACCTTTAGAGCCATGATGAATAGGGTTTCGGAGTCTGGCACGTCACTGCAATGCACTGGGCAATTTCGCTGATCTCGCTCAGAGCCATCCCTAGCTCCCCAGGCCTACCTTAAACTGCCAAACCCTACTTTTTTTGTAGGTTCTTGATATAAGCCCTAATATGGTTTTTATAGGACCCTACAAAAAATAGGTTTTGGTAGTTTAAGGTAAACCCTAAACCCTAAACAGTAAAGCCTAAAGCATCTACTACCTCGAAGTCCCGCGTTTAGATCCGAACCCTGTGCCTAGCAGCCTATGCCCTCAATTTGCGCAACCCCTAGATGTGCCAAGCCCTGATTCCTGAACCCACAACCCTAAACCCTAAACCCCAAAACCCTAACCCCGTATACCCCAAACCTTAAACCCTAAACCCCTGAACCCCAAACCCCCAAACCCCTAAAGCCCAAAACCCCTAAACCCCAAACCCTTCTAAACCCCTAAACCCCTAAACCCCAAACCCCTAAACCCCTAAACCCCCAAAACCATAAACCCCACACCCCTAAACCCTAAACCCGAAACCCTAAACCCCGAAACCACCCCAACACCCCTGAAACCCTAAACCCCCTACAGTAATTAAGCCCTTCTAGAGGCCTTATAGAAGCCCTTATAGATCCCTTTCTGGAGCCCCTAAAAGCCCCCTGCCTTCCGGCCCAGACGCAAGCAAAGGGCTCCTATAAGATCTCCAAGAACGCCAACAGGTCGGGCACTTTGCTTAGCGGGGTTCTTGATTAGGGGCTTGGGGCTTATAGGGCTTAGGGCTTAGAGGGCTTAGGGGTTTAGGGTTTAGGGGCTTAGGGGTTTAGGGTTTAGGGTTTCGGGTTTATGGTGAATGGCTACTAGGGTTTAGGGCTTAGGGTTTAGGGTTCAGGGCTTATGGCGTAGGGTTTAGGGTTTAAGGCTTAGGGTTTAGGGTTTAGGGTTGAGAAGGAACTTACGTAAAATTGCTATGATCAGGAGGTTCAGTCTTTTCTGAGTTCTTGACAAGGAATTGTTAAGCACAGTTGCCATGAGAAGGAAACCATATTGTCTGCCACAAGTATATCACCATTATGGTAACTTAGACTAAGTTCCTGAGCAGAAACCGGGTTCCTAAACCCAAACCCTAAACCCTAAACCCTCAAACCCAGGAGAAATACAAGGTGCTTAGAAAGCAAAAGGCCGAAACCCGGTCAAAACTGCACCAAAACTCAGGACCTGAACCCTAAACACTCAATTTTTGGGGGGTCCTTGTCACCAGGACCCTATGTTTTAGGGCTCGCATGTTAAGGCCTGTCAGGTTCCGGGGCCCAGGGTTCTTGGGAGTTAGGGTTTAGGGGTTTAGGGGTTTGGGGGTTTAGGGGTTTGGGGTTTGGGGTTTAGGGGTTTAGGGGTTTAAGGACTTAGAGCTCAGGCTGCAATATCGGAGACTCTTCAGGCACTGTCACTAGCAACATGAGCGTTCATTGATCTTTGTAGAATTGGAGCAATCGCAAAACCCATCAAGCCCGATTGGCCCGATCGTGAAGCCCCGAAACCCACAAGACTAAGCCCGGCCCTAAACCCTAAACCCACAGCCCACAATCCTAAACCCCAACAACCCTAAACCCTAAACCCACAACCTTAAACCCACAACCCTACACCCCAAACCCAAATCCTGAAGCTGGGGCTCTTGGAGATGCCCAGTACCACTATGCCACTGCTCCGTATCCAAGATGTAGGCGGTAGAGTTTGACTGGGTTTTCCTTTCCAAAACTAATTGGCCGGTGGGCAAGATGTGCATCGCCGGATGCAGAGGCAGTGCCAGCTCCAAAAAAGGAGCACGCCTGTCGGTCTGCCGGTCGGTCTGCCGGTCGGTCTGCCGGTCGGTCTGTCGGTCGGTCTGCCGGTCGGTCTGCCGGTCGGTCTGTCGGTCGGTCTGTCTGTTTATGCGTGGGGACGGGGGGGGTATGCAGGTATGTACCGTTGCATGCTGCAATATACGTGAGATCAAATGCGTATGTGATATGTGTGTGCATGATTCTCTACAGAGGTGCAAAGTAGCAAGTGAGACATCGCTCATTTCGCTCATTTGGGGCACTGAGTCCATAGTGCGAGCGCAGCCCATGTTGCATGCGCCTAAGTAAGGAATCCTTGCGCAGAAATCTGGACACGTACCAGTATGCGCTAAGGCTGGGAAACACATGTGCGAGGAGTTAACTGGCGCCAACGGCAGAAAAGCCATCCCCGATCACATGCAAATAAAAAACCTATCCGACCTAGCCAGCATCAAAGTTTAAGCGGCGCTGCTGCAGCCTCCAGGCGTTACCAGGGAATGCCATCGCGAATCTAAACATAGGCACATGCAAGCACCTGGAGCAAGCAAGAAACTTCAGCCTGAGCCTATTCCTCAAGGGAGAGGGTGAGGCAAACTGCAAGCTGTACACCCCACACAACTGACATTCAAACGCAGCTGTGCCCATCGAACACTACCATTCGCAGTGACTGCGCATACACATGGAGTTTACAAGCTCAGATCCAGACCGAAATGAAACTTGACATCCGGTTACCTTGTCATTCATCGCCATCTTGGCCATCGCCATGAGAAACATTTCCAATCCTAACAAGACCCTACACTTGCCGCCGAGGATGGGCCCGAGGTTGCCCAGCCCTTCCACCATTTCGTTGATGTAGAACGCCTCGGGACTAAAGTAGCCCCACATGCACTGATCATCCAGCCCCTTCTGCTCACCATCGAGGGTGTCGTAGTTCAGCAGCACTGTGGGGCGGCACCCGGATCGCTTTGTTGATGACGAACTGAAGCTGACCAAAGCTGAAAGCCGTCGCTGGGTTGCTATCGCTCAGCACGATTTTCAAGCCTGCCTCGAGAAACTCGCCAAGGTTCTTCACGATCTCCTGAGTACTTGCACACGGAGCTCATGTTGATGTTTACGGAGTAGGCCTCAAGGTCCCCAACATGGATACTAGACGTCGCCAACGCATAGAAACACCAGCCAGCGCCGCTAGACCAAAACCTCGCGCCCGCGTGCAGGTAGTAGTCTGCGTTGACAAACTCCGTGGCGTCGATATTCTCGAACCAAGCGGCGTGGCCGTTCATGCCGCTGCTGGCTGCACCGAAGATGCAGAATGACCTCACAGCATACGTGGAGGGCAGAGTGCGCATACCAACCTGAGTGATGGTGCATCCACGAGAGATGCACGCTTTGAAAGTGCCGGCGATAAAGGCCCCGGCATTCCGCATCCACGAGCCCAGTAGACGAGGGTCAACCAGTCCGTGCAGGAAGGATTGAAGTTTGGCCGCCCAATTCCCAGATCCATGTGGCATAGGGCTGCAGTGTCGAACGCAAACTCGATGAAGTGGTTCGAGTGGTGGCCGACCGTCAGGGCGAATACAACCACCATCAGCACGTTGCTGTATAGAGAAGCGCTGTAGGAGACCGTCTTGATTGCTGCCACGACGGGGAGCGTGGCACAAACCGTGATGATGGCAATCACCACCGTGGCCGTGTTGGTCAGCACGGCCTCGGACAGGGTACCGTCGAGCCGGCTTTTGGCGAACTCCCTTCCACTGTGCCCATGTAACGGAGTTCTGGGGGCGTCGCAATCTGCACTATGCAGTGTTCGAGCCCCCAAAAATGTGAGACATATTCGCAATCTGCTCTATGCAGTGTTCGAGCCCCCAAAAATGTGAGACATATGCATAGGTACAACGCAGGCACGAAGTCGGCATGTTAGTGTGTGTATCTTTGTTTGATGGATGGAAAAATGGATGGACGGACGGATGGACGGATGGACGGATGGACGGATGAAGGGATGGGCGGATGGATGGATGGATGAATGAATGTGCGCTGGGCAACCACATTTTTGCTTCACTTGCCACCATCTGCGACCCCCGTGATAGAGTGTGTGTGTGTGACACGATGCAGAAACCTCAACCATTGACTCAACCATCACATCCCCCAATTAGTTGTACTATGATAAAGTATTGTGGCAAAGCCCCCAACCTGAATCATACTGTAGCCTTCAACCTTATGAGCCTTACTGTAAATCCCAATAGACCCCAAAGCCTCAACGCCAAACCCTAAACCTTGAACCGCCTAAGCATGAATGAGGGTGGCTTTCGGCGCTCTGCTCTTCACCATCCTCGGTGTCGGCTTGGACACCATCTCGTGGGGCTGTCACGGTTGAACGGTTTAGGGTTTAGGGTTTTAGGGTTTAGGGTTTCAGGGTTGAGGGTTTATTTTAGGGTTTAAGGTTTAGGGTTTTGGGGTATGGAGGCCTCAATTGTAACTATCGCATAATATACACCAAAACCTATCCTATTCTAGTCATTATGGCCCCATACTATTCCTATCAATTGAACCCAAACCATGAACCGTATGATTCCTAAGCCTTAAACCCTCAACCCGGAACTCCTGCGGTTCGTTTATGGGGCTGCATCAGAATCAAAATTCGGGTACCGACCATCCGCCGTTGCTATTAATATTATTATTATTTCTACTACTACTACTACTACTACTTCATCATCAACAACAACAACAACTACTACTACTACTACTACCACCACTGCTACTGGCTCCTGCTCCTGCTCCTACTAGTACTGCTATTGCTAGCTACTGCAGCTACTACTGGTACATACTTGCTTGTCGTCGTGGCCGGTTTCGGTTTATTGTCGCCAGGAACATCATCACCGTCTTCTCAACGAAGAGGATGATGAACGATCTAGAAGATGAGGCTGCTCAGGCCGAATCTGCGCCACTTATCCTTGGACGGCGGTGCAAGACTTGTGGTCTAGGGATGTTTGGGTTTAGCGGTTTAGCGGCCAAGCTTCCGGGGTTCACGTCGGACAGCCTTTAGGGCTTGAGCTGCTGGGGGTGCTTGTAATTGCCATGGCCATGACCATCACCAGCATCATCCGCAGTTTCATCATCATCTCAGTATTCTTGGCGGTGACTCGCCATGATCCGTGTCAGCATCCTCCTCACCATCGTCATCAGTGCTCCTGTTATCACAGCAGCATCACAGCACCAGCAACAGAGACACTAGCAGGGCCCACAGACTAGCAACGATAGGAGCAAATTTAACATGAACATAAAACCGAAACCCTAAACCGTTTCCAGTGGCTGGTATGATCGCCATGTTCATCATGCCTTGGGCCTCCTTGGGGCCTAGGATCTAAGGTTTAGGGTCTGCCCAGGAAGCTGCTTCTTTCGGTTGGTACGGTTTAGGGTTTAGGGTTTAGGGTTTAGGGTTTAGGCTGCTTTTGTCCTGCCCAATAAAGGGCTGTAGGGTTCTCTCAAAACGGGACTTCAAAGGAATTCTCACATCCTATCCTAGACCCCAATTTTTCAAACCCGCAAAGCCCAGCCTATGCCATTAGTGTGTCTGAGCCTAAGTACCTGCGTCCTACCCTGAACCCTAGACCCTTAAGGCCTAAACCCTAACCCCTAACCCTAACCCCTAAACCCCTCAACCCTAAACCCTAAACTCTGCGCCCTCAATCCCGGAGCTTATCGAGCCGTAAACTTGGCTTTCGCGAGTCATGCGCAGGTCGTCGCCCGCCGGAGAAATGAGCAAAGAGCGGAGCAGCGGTAACATAGAATCACTAAACCCTAAACCCTGAACCCCCAAACCTAAACCCCAAACCCTAAACCCTAGAACCCTAAAGCCCTAAACCCCAGACCCCTAAACCCTAGAACCTCAAACCCTAAACCCCACACCCCTAAACCCTAGAACCCAAACCCTAAACCCCACACCCCTAAACCCTAAACCCCAAACCCTAAACCCCACACCCCTAAACCCTAAACCCCAAACCCTAAACCCTAAACCCATAACCCTAAACCCCACACCCCTACTCCTAAACCCTAAAACTTTAGGGTTCAGAGACTTCTGAGTTCAAGGGTTGTGAAGGAGCAGTAGCGGGTGAATCGCCCGGCACTGCAGGGGCCTTCATTCCGACCTCTCTCCCAGGGCCTCAGGGGTGTAGGGCAATGGTTTAGGGTTTAGGGAAACCTAAACCCCACAATGTTGGGAGTTAGGAGTTGGGATGTAAGGTGTCGGGCAGGGCAGGGTCTAGGACAGTTTTCAGGTGGGTAGTTACGGTTATAGCCTCTTATAACAGGGCTATATACCTTATAGGAAGCCTTATAGAAGCCCTATATACCCTAAACCCTAAACCCTAAACCCTAAACCCTAAACTCCTATATACTCTAAACCCTAAACCCTAAACCCTATATACCCTAAACTCCCACCCTGTAGTTTCCGTTAATTCAGGTATGAGGCTGGGATCCCCTAAAGTTTAGGGGTTTAG